CTTTCGTAGTGTCTGCTTCCAGTTATCACATTTAGAGGATATTTTCCGTAGGATTGCAGCTCATCTCGTGTCTAAAAATATGTATTTAAATTTTCGTAAGAGACTTTCAACGATTCTACTGCACTGTATAGAACTGATGAAACGTCAAAGTTTAGCGATTCACATAATCAAATTTTTATCAAGTACCGGTGATCATATCGTAAATAAACAGTTCTATATAACTTATAATTTCAAGTCAGGCGATGCAAAATGGAAAGGGTGAAAACATTTCGTTGTCTAACTGCGTATCAGTCTCTGTAATTCAATCTAAAGTCTGCTCCTCAAGCAGTGTTTTAAGAAAAAATGCAAAGATCTGTAAAGATATTTTATCGAGTTACGTAAATTTGCCTCTCCTCATGTGTTTCCCAATCTACTGAAAGTATTTAAAATCAAGATTGCATGCAAAATGAGTCATTTTCTGTGCTTGAAATGACTACTGTTTAACGTCGTTCTAAGTAATGGACATAGCAGTACATGCACATTTCATTTCTTCGCGTCGTGAAAGATCGATTCGAAGTGGCATTTCCATTTATTCGTTTGCTCTAACTGAAACCTTAGATTTTTGGGGTCGCTATTGGCCTTGTAACGAGAGCGCTACATTCCACGTGTTAGTGCAAATATATTTCTCACACTTCTTGATTGTTCCCGATAGAATGTCTAATATGATGAGACAGTTTAAGAAAGGACAGCGTATTGGGAAGAAGAAACACAAAATCTTGTATGTTGTGCGCTTGAACTGCTGCTACAACGAAAAATATTTGCAATCTCCATTTTCTTCAATTTTTTTTGTCATTTTCTATACTGAAACTCATTGAAAGCTAGAATTTCCGAAAGTGTGCTTTCAATTATCGCGGTCGTTTGAATCACCCATTGCATTAGCTGCAATGTTAGTGAATTGACATTCAAAAGGGAGAATGGCAAGCTGCGTTTACAGGAAAACTTGAATGAGATGTTCATAGGGGGCTGAAGGAACAGATTCAACGGATTTGTGGTGATTAGAATGAATTATTCATGATTAGAATTAGTAGGAAGAAATTTTGCAAAAATTATTGTTGAGATGTGCTAGAGAATCATTCAAAATTGTTATGTGCACATGCTGCCACTTTTTATTACTTCGAAATCCCCTTTTTCCCGATGATAGGTCCATGCGAAAATATGAAATAAGGGTTGGATATCTAAAAAGAAGCGTTACGGCCGTTTGAAGTTCCGAGCGTTTTACAACTTTATCCTAGAAAATCTTAAAGGGTACTGGCGAAAAATAATTTGAAAAGGAAAGGACTGGCGTAAAATGAAAGAGAACGCCCAACTGTGTACAGCAAAAGATCGTTCAACCGGTCTGTATTCTAACACCGTCGCTATACATCATTTTTTTGTGTGTAAAGTGCTTAATATAATTATTTTTATTGAATAGTTTTAAACCGAATACCACTAAATATTACATTTAATGATAGGATACAATATTAATTATTTTGAATATATGATTATCTTATCATCATTATGTTTTGAATAGTACAAAACATCGGCTAGCAACATTGACAAAACTCTGTTGATTCTTTATGATCATATTACTGACGTAAACAATCTGTGCTTTTCGCATGTGTTCCTTAGATCCACCACAACTTTCCGCTTTTTCTCGCAGTATATTCCTATAATCTTTGATTTTCATCAAAATTAACGTGCGCGGGATAGCTTATTTTTGTTATGCAAGTCAGAAAGTACATGTGTAATTAGTCTCACCCCATTTTTTCTCTACTAATCGATTTATTTAGCAAATATACATTAGAGCAGAACTCCTGAATAGGATTTGTTCACAATATTTTTGTAAAGAATCGAGCAATGATTTTGAGGAATTTATGGAACATTAGCATTCCCGAAGATTTTATTTCAATTAAAATGCTAGGGTACTGGTGATTGTGAGATTAGTTGACCCGAGTATTTTTAGAAGGGAGGAAAAGTTAGTCAGTTCTATAAGCAGTTAGCACCTATATGAGACAAATTCTAGCAAGATCAAAGCATTTCCTCGCCTTTCTTACTCGAAAGCTGAATTATATCCATAGAGAACGATCATTTTGCTTCGTATTTCATGATAATGTTTGAGTACTTTAAATACTTAGGATGGGACCTCCACAAGTCCTCTACCGGAGCCTTTGCCGACTGGGTGACAAATTAGTGTACCCTCTGCTGCCGTCATTTGCGAAGTCTGCATGGAACCATCCTGCGGGCCCAAAAACAGTATTCTTTTGGGCCCCAACCATCAAATGGGGCCTCGTCATAGCAGGAATTGCCGACATGGCTCGACCTGCCAATAAACTTTCCGTCTATCAGGTTCTACCAAAACTTTTTGATCCCCAGATTCTACTAAACCAGGCCTTTTGCAGAATTCAGCATTGATGTTCACAGGAGCGACCTGGGCTCGATATAGTTTCGTTATTATCCCAGTAAACTATTACTTAGCCAGTGTGAACATATTTCTATTCTGTGTGGGTTTCGTGCAATTGTGTCGGATAGCAAATTATAGGTAAGTGAAACAAAAAA